GTAGATCGTCGTCCAATGTCAAAGGACACTCAAATTCATTTCCAGAAATATCAGCTGGATGTATTTCACTCTCCCTCTCATTCACTACTTCCTCTGCCTGGACATCCACATTTTGAGCATTTTGAGCCACCGTACTCTCAAAAATATCTGCTGGACGTATTTCACTAGTTTCAGACTCCTCTACACCATTAGCCGTTGCCTGACTTTCTCCCAATCCAAGGCTAAATCCAATCGGAGTAAATCCATTTCTCGGATTTTCAAAACCAGCAACAATTTCGATGGTTGAACTCTCCCTTTCAACCACTACCTCCTATTGCTGCACATCCACATTTTCAGGCACCCTACTGTCTTCTCCCATTATATTACCAAACACATTATTTTCTTCAGTACTGTCTTCCACCACTAAATTAACAAACACAATATTGTCCTCCATGACTGGAGGAGCACTATTGCTGTCCCCGATATCACTCACTACATCGTTCAATGGGTTTTCTGGATCCCAATNACGGGGATATTCTGTATCAATCAGGTTACGCATCTGTTCGAAATCGTATTCTTCAGAACAACTGCCGGTAATATCACTACCGCTAACACCACTTCTTGCTAACCAATCCCTCTTCCATTTTCCATTGTTGTCCCCGACTACAGTATTTCTGTCCTCNGTTACTCTTTCCACAATATCTACCACATTTCTCTTACTAGCTGAACGGAAAATTTCGTCCACCTCTTCTAGAAATTCGTCGTTCTCATACGTCAGGGAGACGACAAACAAATCAACCAGTTCTTCCTCCACAATGCTATTGTTAACCTGCCTACTTGTCCCGCCACCGTAACCGCGGATTTCATCTTCCACTGCTTTCACCACTCTTCTGTCTTCGAAGTTTTCTAGACTGTTCAAAGTCATCCATGTTTCATCTACTCCTCCGTTCACCGCTACCTCACCACCGCAAGCCACAACATCATGACATTGGGTAATTGTTAAATACATATTCAATCCATGCTTTTGGTCCCTTTTCTTCTTGAATTTGCACAACCCACTATCACCGTCTATGGCCACGGGAGGCATCCTCAATTGCGTGAACACAAGGTCACCGTCGTCCGACCAAAAACTTAACATCGCACGCTCTTTTACCAGATTTATGCCAAAAGCTTCAAAAACTCTCTGCTTTATGTTTACATACTTGTCTTCGGGTCCAACGTCCACACACTTACCAAAGACGTCCTTCGAAATACGAAAATGCCATTCTCCGTCATCCTTGCATAACCACTCTCCAACAATCACCAATACTGCTGCCTCCATTGATTCTTGTCCACGAAAACTGCATTAATGTAACGACCAACACAATCTGTATCAATAAATATGTTAAAAGTACTAAATACAACTACATTTACCCCTTACCTTAAATTTCTCTTCTTCTCAATCTTCAAGTTCTACAAACTATCACTCAATTAG